TATTTTCATGGAATTAGCATTGTAGTACTATAATACTAGAATAATGAAGTGAGGTTGTAGAAAGGTGTATTAATTGGGCAATGACAACAAATTGTAATATTAGTGTCTATTCCTGACTTTACACTAGAATAATTATTCAATTATTCCTGACTTTATAAGAATAATTAGCCTCAAGACGTCGTAAACTTCACATACCAACTGTATTTCATAAAGGCCGTTTTCATGGATTTGAAAATATATATCTACACACCTTTACTATATTAGGTTCTAGAAATTCATTACGTGATTAGAGAAGCTGTAATGAGTGAAGCGAAAATGCCTTCTTTCTAAGAAGGCGTTTCCCCTCTCTCTTTCTGATCTTTCTCCCTCCTCTCTCTTCTTTCCTCTCTCTCTCTTTCTTCTCCCCCTCTTTTCTCCCCTCCCCTCTCTTTCCTCCCCTCCCCTCTCTTTCCTCTCTTTCCGCTCTCTCCTCTCTTTTCTCTCTCTCGCCTCACTTTCCTCGCGCTTCACTTTCCTCTCGCCTCACATTCCTCTCGCCTCTCTCTCCCTCCTCTCCAAATAGCTGCCGCTCTCAGGGCGCCGCCAACTCCTCTTGGATCTCCTCCCTGGTCTTGTCGCGCGTCTCGGGCACGCAGAAGGCGACGAACACGCCCAGCACCACGCACACGCTGCAGAAGGCCGCGTACGCCAAGGACGGGCCCAGCGCGCGCATCAGCGTGCTGAACCACTTGGTGACGACGAACGACAGCGACCAGTTGAGGCCGACGGCGGCGCCGGACGCCCACTGCTTGGCCGACGGCGGCAGCAGCTCGGCCATCATGAACCACGGCATGGGGCCGAGGCCCAGGGCGAACGCCACCAGGAACAGGTTGACGGAGAAGAGCGGCGCCCAGCGCAGGGCCAGCGCGGCGTGCGCCAGCGCCATCGCGACGGCGGACAGCAGCAGCAGCGGCCGCCGCCCCACGCGGTCCACCACCAGCGACGCCACGCCCGTCGCCAGCGCCTGCACCTGCACACCACCACACGCTAATCAGATGACGGCGCTGCAGTGCGGCTACTCGACACGTACTAGGGTTCGAGTACGCTAAACACCGGATCAGGGCATCGGCTGATGGCATTGCAGTGCATATATTCGGCAGTTACTAGGTTTGGAGTACGCTAAATTCCATCTCAGAGCATCAGCTGATGACACTGTAGTGAGTCTACGCGGCCGTTACTACAGTTGGAGTATGCTAAACACCGGCTCAGGGTATCAGCTGATGGCACTGTAGTGTGTCTACTCGGCAGATACTAGGGTTGGGTACGCTAAACACTGACTCAGGGCATCAGCTGCTGGCACTGTAGTGCGAGTACTCGGCAGTTACTGGGGTTGAAGTACGCTAAACACCGGCTCGTGGCATCAGCTGATGACCCTGTAGTGAGCCTTCTCGGCAGATACTAGGGTTGGAGTACGCTAAACACCGGCTGAGAACTGAAATTCCGTTGCTTAGCGTTCTACATGGCAAAACCTTCCAACAATTCTCTTGGCAAACCTACTAAGAAATGTAGTGTATTTAATATTTTTGAATCATTCAAATGAAATGTTCTCTCTATTTTTCTACAAACTGGCTTTTTAATGTAACTTTCCACCCAAAAACCACGGATGATAACGGGTAAGGGGACCGTCGTACCGCTCCGGAGATGACGGTGCACGCGAGCGGCGACAGCGAGGTGCCGGCTTCGTCGAACACGTCGACGAGGTAGAAGAGGATGGCGTCGATGCCGCTCAGCTGCTGGAAGATCATGAGGCCGAAGACGGCGACGCAGGCGCGGCGCGCGGCGCGCCCGGCGCTGGACTGGCCCGGCGCCGTCGCGGGCGACGGCAGCTCCCCGGGCCGCAGCGGTGTGCCCGGCGTGGGCGGGCCCGACGCCGGCTCCTTGGCCAGCTGCACGTTCTTCGCCATCAGGTGCAGCTCCTCCTGGATCGAACTGCGCACGTTCACATTAGACGCGGGTCGACATTGGAATTAATTCGATTCAACTGATATAAATTGAATTAAAATATCAAAGGGAAAAGTTTCGCTAAATAATGCCCAGTTTCTCCTGGCTGGACTGCCAGGGGATAATATTGAACTCGTTTCAATTTAAGTTGAACATGGCTTTCGTCCTTTACATTGAATTGAAACGGATTAAGTTGAATTGAACTCGTGTACATTGAATGGGTAACATAGTTAAATCAAAATACAAGGCAATCGATGTTGGATTAGCAGTGAAATCGGAAACACTGGGAAAGTTCCTTATTAAACAGTATTTAGCTTCTCCTATTCAGGACTGTCAGCCTAACCACTTGATTAGATTATGAACGAACTTGACTTCATTATATTTAATTGAAGACGAAAGTTGAATTGAGCCGTTATACATTGAATAAGAAACGATGTGAAATCGAAACACGAAAAACACAATTCAATTGAAAATACTTATGAAACTGAAAGCAGAAAAGCAGGCCGCCATAATTCCCTAGTTGAGACTGATAACGTTCAATCACCAAGTTAAACTGAGGTGAAACATTTTTTTATTGAATCAAATTTAATTGAATTGCATAAATATAAATTGAAGTAAAAATGCAGTAAAAATAAGGAAAATGTCTCACTAATTATGCCCAACTTCTCCTGAATTGGTCTTCCAACATTCAAACACCGAATTTGACTTACAATCACATAGAACATTGAATCAGATTAAAGAGGATTGAGTTGAATTGAACTGATATAAACAGAATGGAAATCACAGTGGATATTAGGAAAAGTTCATTGATCAAGGTTTAACTTCTCTAGCTTAGGTCACAGAATGCATTCATTTATTCTAATTGAAAAGTAGTTGATTGAATTTATTTTGAACTTTGGATTATTTAAAAGGATTTGAATTGAACCTAATAAATTAAATTGCGAAAGCAACATAGGGAAAATGTCTCCCTAACCAGTGTATATAAATCAAAATAGATATGTGAAAGTGTAATTTTATTTAAATGGTACCAAAAATATTCTTTATGATTGGACGTTGAACTTGGCTACTTAACCTTCACAGAAATGAACAAACGTGTAAGAATTTGAGTGTGATTGTAGTTGTCTCAATTGAAATGAACTAGAAAAATTGGCCGGGAATCTTAGGGAGAGATTGGTTAAAAACCCTCCTCCCCCACAAAAAGTAAATTTGGTTCTTTTTGAAAGTTAGTACAACATATAATTCAAATTATTGAAAAGAATAATACAAATATTTATTTTTATTTAATTCTGCAGGAAAAGGAACAATTCTTACTGCGATATAATTAGTGTATTGTCACAATACCTTTTCATTAAATTATTCTCTGAGTTAAGGCTGACAAGTGTTTATGTGAATCTCACATTTCGTTTCAACATTGACTTTTACTAAGCAGTAGAGAAATGAGAACAGTGCACGTTAACTTGATCTCTTTGTTTCCACACGTTTCCGGATAGACATTACGTCTGAAGCACCTAGAATGAAGTGACAGGCATTTCAATGGCAGCGTAATTTCTCCACACACCTAAAACCTTTCTTGTCATTGAAACTCATCTTCAACGAAGTCCTGTTAATATTTCAAGAATCTTTATAACATCGTAAACTACCACATACCCTGTGGCGGTTCCTCATTTACCCATTTGCGCGTCTATTCAGGAAGCCACGCACCGAGAAACAACATCCGTGGATACCAGTATCACGACACTGCGCCAAGTGTCTCATTACCCGTCAGGTTTGAAACGCACGGCGCGTGCCCGTAAATACGCGTCCGGTTCTGTGCCGCGAATCGCGCTCACGCGTTTATGGCGCAGAACAGCCGCGGCGCGTAAATTCACCTGCCCGCCCGCCCGCCGTCGCACCGCTACCTGAACGAGTTCTCAGTTATTCTGCCTTTGGCGTGAAAACAGCAAGGTGGATACAGCCTCGTGAAAAAAAACAACAACACGAGAGTAGTGTTCTCTACGACTGCGTTCCAGTGCATGGGATACGCGAGAATTCCAGCGTGTTCTTTTCAGAACGTTACGAGATAATTAAACGCGTGTTGCTTTTGAGAAATTGGTATCTTAGAGTGCTCGCGTGCAGGTGCATTGCAGATTTATTGAACTGATTTTGTGATATTGTTTAAAGTGCGTTCTCAAATCACCGCAGAGCGACAGTTCCTGGAAAGTTGAATTTTAAATGAGAAAATTTGGTCTTCCTGTGGTTAATGTTTTCTAAGTAATTTACCCACGTGTGTGTGCATTAGCCATCGTAAACGAGTCACATTAGGTAGGAGGGTAATTATTGAAGTACCTACTGTGTTGTTTCGTATTGTTGTTTCGTGTATCTGAACGAGTGCATAATCTCGCTCGTTTCATGTTTGTAACATTTTGAACCTCTTGGGGTTTTGCATGAAATAAATTAACAGTGTGAATTGAATTTCTGTCCAATAACAATTTGAAAATATACTTCTACTTTATTTGCTTTTATTTGTTTTATCTTTACATTCTTAGAGTATAAGGCGTTTTGAATATATATTACCTACTATGAAAACTATTAAACAATTAAATTTTAAAAAAATCTTAGCTGCGGAGTGTACCTTTAATATACTGGGCTTAACAATAATAGACATTACGGAGACCGTTTATTTTAAACGAAGTTTTCTTACTTCATAGTGCCGTAGGCGATTCTTTTGATAATTTCAAAATAGTCTTTAAAATTGCTAGATTATTTTAAAGGATAAAAAAATCTTTCTTTTAGCGATTGTATTCACTGACAAAAATCTGCAAAGTTAAGTGTAAGTGAAAATGCCTTGAATTTCTCCATAAGCAATCTTCAAATGATAGTTTAGATGCAGTAAATACAAACCACATTTTTCCCAAAATTAACATCCAGAACACAGGTTAGCTCAACATCATTACAACCAGTCTTGCTATGTGCCTTCCGCAATGTAACTAAACTTGTAGAAGGAACATTGCCCGTGCATTCATGTATTCATGGAAGATTTTGCGTGTGCAAATTACACAGTATACAGTAATTTTCTTTCATTATTTCAAGATAAGAACCATAAACACATCCCAAACGCCTTCTTCTTCCGTTATTAACTACTATAAAGAATTCAATTTCCCCAGCAGTATTATTTTCAGTTTCAAGATTGTGTTGCATGATGGCGCTAATATAAATGTGCCGTAAATTATAATTTTGTATATTCGAAATGTTTGGTAGCTCGAAATGTCAAAATTCACTAAACCAAAGTTTTAGAACTGTGACATATTGCCAAACGAGGGGACACTTATCCCACTTTTGTGCTTTGCTTTCATTTAATTGTAACACATATCTCCTTCTTGAAGTATTTGTAAAATATTTCATCATTAATCATGATAAAAAACTAGTGAATTAAGGACTTAAAATATATGGAGAATTGTTCAGATAAAATAACGAATTGTTTCGGTCTGATTATAATTCAGAATTCAGGAAGGTCATACAACATGCAATACATTAATGTAATTATAAATTACAAACATTTCCCTATATTTGTATGTATGCATGTCACATTAAATAGTGACAGCTTGATAGTTCTGCACATGTAGCTTCTGCGAGGTTGTTACAATCAGGATGGAACCGCGAACTTCGGCTATCAGTACAGCGAGGCGGTTAGACGTCGTCGTTCGCCGACCGCGCGCACGGGCGACTCCGACCGCCTTCAAAATTGGCCTCCATCGTAATTGGGCGCGTCGAAAATATGCAGCGGCCGGCGCGGTCGTGGCTATCAGCCTGCATCTGCGCGCGTGCAGATACGCGTCGGCGATGGCCGCGCCGAGATA